CTGGCCGTCCTGGCTGCTCCTGCCCGTGCCCTCCTGTAGCTGGTGTTATCTGCTTTGGGCCAAGAACAGGGCCTCCGATTTCATTGGGAAACTAAAGGAAACAGGAATCCTCCAGGGTCACATTCATTCCCGAAATAGCCTTGGAGGCTTGACTCCGAAATCAGCCGGGATCTGTCTCCAAAGATCCCCGAGGTCGCAGGCCGCTTCCCTTCAGTACAGTGTTCTGCGGGGGCTGCTGGCCACCGGTTGGTGTGGCCGGGTTTCTGGGAATGGTCATCTGAGTAGTGGACAGGGGAACCCGGGACAATGTCTAAGACCTTCCCCTTGGCCCTCCCAGCCCCCAGCCAGGGCCTTGCGTGGGAGAGAAGGCCCCTCCAGGCCCTCGGAGGCGACCACTAGCCGGATGCCCCCAGGGAAAACTGATGGCTACATTGTGACGCTCAGGACTGTCCCATAGCAACAACCTATTATATAGACGCTTTGTCTTTTTGTGTGAAATCCTGTAACGGCAAAGTAACGCTGGGGCGGTGATATGGGGAGAATTATCTCTCTATATAAAAGCCTAATATGCAAATTGTCCCCTCGGGAGTCTGACCGGGAGACCGAGAGTTTCATCGCTCACTATGATGTGCGCTGACCACCAGGGGGACAGCGTGGAACGAAGGAAGGTCCGATCGGCCCTGATCACCGGCCAGGCCTAGGGGCCTATCTGTGCATGAATCTTGTGCACCGGGCCTCTAGTATGTCAATATGTAGTCATTTTTTATTTGACAAAACTGCCAGGAAAGCACTCCAGAACGTCATTATTGCAGGGAGGACTTGGATGGGCTAAAACTTAATGTTGCGACACGCTGGTTCCCTTGGTCAGACTTTTGGTGAGTCTGGGGTTCGCGTTTAGTAACAGGAACTGGAGTGGGGGGAGGGAAAGGAGTTTCCCCTGTTGAAGGTACGTGGAACACAACTGCTTAGTAATTGTGAGGTGACACACACGTCGGAAACACTGCCCCTCACCAAGCGGGGTGGCGGGATTATGACCCAAGTCCAGCCCCTCACTCTGCAGTCCTGAGTGAACGTTGGAGGACGCTGACCCGGTCTCCCCTGCCGGGTCAACAACGCCCAGACCTTTCCCCCGCGAGGCCCTCTCTTCGGAGAATTGCTGGACAGCTGGCGTCTCATAAAATAAAAATGAGTTACGTGCCAAGGAAGCTGGAAAGTCCAACGTGCTGAGAAATATCATGACCCAGTAAGAAAATCTAAAAAAAATGTTTTTCTTAGCTTCTTGAGTCATGGAGTTTAGCTGGGATGTTAAACAGCCAGAATTAAAGTCTGCTGTTAGTATCACTTAACAAAGAGCAAAACAAAGCTCTGCCCTCTTTATTAAGTGATAATTTGATGTTTTTTTTTTTTTTTCCAAAGGGCATTCTGTTTTCAGGGAAAAAGGAGTCCAACCAGCTTGATTAGGTGAGTCCCGGGCCCACCCAGCCCCTCCACCCAGCGCCTCCTCCCCCGGGCAGGGCGGCTTCCACGTGGGAGCCTGGCGACTTCGCAGGAGCCCGCACAGGCCGCAGAATGCCTGGTGGTCCTCCCAGACCCCGGGGCCCACCACAGGCCCCCGAGAAGCTGCCCCGTCTCAGGCACTCCCCCGGGGGGAGGGGGGGCGGGGAGAGGCTGTTCCAGGTTCTGAGGGTGCGAGGCCTCCCCCCACCTCCTCTCAGGCGACAGAACTGGTTCCCGTCGCTGCTCAGGGACCTGGGAAGCTGGCTGTTTGCAGCTCTTCCTCCACCATCATTGCCGTTGCCCGTAGTAAACTGAACCCCAGGGGACCTGGCTGTTTCCCTGTCTGCTGGGTCATCCAGGTCAGCCCTACTGTGTGCTCACCACCCTCCCCCCTCCTCCCTCAGAAAATGAGGGGCTGCGTTCAGGGGGCTCATGGTCCCGCCCCCAGGAGGCCACAGCCCAGGAGAGCGCGGGTCCGTGATGGATCTGCTTTCCGTGTTCTGCGAGCGCCCCCGCATCGCGGTTTGAAGAACCCCCTCTCCCAGGTCTCAGCACCGGCCGAGTCGGTCCGGAAAGCAGCCTGGACGTCAGGAGCGCCCCCCCCCCCCCCGGAGTGAAGCCCGAACAGAAGCCACAAAACTGTGTGGAAAGAGACAGAGACCCGTCCCCTGGATCCAGCGGATCCTGAAGTCCATGCTGAGCACGAAGCGCAACCTGCGTTTGTCAGTGTGGGTGGGATTTGGAAGAGGCCTGATGAGCCCAGGGCTCCCGAGACATCGCAG